TGTAAAACTTTCAATAGAAAAGAAATTTAATACAATTAGTGTGCAATTAAAAGAAGAGAAGAGAAAAAATAGAGTTTCCATATCAAGCACCCAAAGTTACCCATCCTCTCATGGGTAAATGCCCAACCAAACAGGTTGGCTCAAAGGACTGCTGAGGCCCAAGAACTCGCCACAAGTCTAAGGCATTTCTGGGGGGGACCATATGAAAGGGGCAGATTGGAACAATCAAGTCTGGAAGGAAAAGAGAAAAATCAAATTACAAGTCAATATAAAGGCTATTGTTGTCAGCCTCCCCATGCATCTCTCACCCACGTTTCTGTCTCTTTCAAGTGTCCCCTTCCCTGTCTCCCAAGTTCCTGGTGCAAGTCCAAGGCTGAGAAGCAAGTGCAGCTTCCTCACATGTCTCTCTGCTTCATGTGCCCCTCCAGGTCCCCTTCTTGTTCTCCTTCCTTCCTATCCCAGTCTTCTCTAGGCTTACCTCCCTGCCCAGCTCCACCCCTCCTTGGGGACTACCCTGTTTCAACACCACAGCACTCTGCTTGTCATTGTCATTGTCATTGTAACACTATTGCAGCAACATTGATCTTTCATGGAAGAAACCACAGGCAGTAATTAAAGTTTTTTGCCACTGCCTACCCAAACCCCATTTTCCACTGACACTTAGATCATCACTGCATTCAATTCCAAGCAAAAAGCAAAACCTATCTTAAAATCATGGCTTTGAGAGTACATTTCCTGGGGCTACTCCTAGAACCAAAGACCACATATGTTGGTTTCATTTGGACAAATAGAAACTACATTAGGTACTTGAAATAGATAACAGGGACACAAATAATAAGATTGTTGGAGGAACAAGGTGAGCCAAAGAGAAAGATGTGATGTGACAGTGTGATATCCATACAAAGGGAGGTCCTAGGTTCCCTGCCCCACCAAAGAAGGGTGGAGCTGAGCAGGGAAGAGAAGCTGAAGAAGACTAGAAGATAGGAAGGAAGGAGGAAGAAGACCTGGAGCACACATGGAGCAGAGAGACATGTAAAGAAGAAGACATGTTTGCTTTTCAGCCTTGAACTTGTACCAGGGACTTGGGGGACATGGAAGGAGACACTTGGAAGAGATGTGGGTGAAATACCAATGGGGAGACTGACAGTGGCAGCCTTTATCTTTTTATTTTTTTAAAGATTTATTTATTTATGCATACAAGAGCTGGGGTACAGGCCAGAAGTGCAGGGGGATGAGAGGATTCGCCAGAGACAGAGTGGGGAACAGAACAGGCAGACTGACTGAAATACACTGCTGAAGGGAGCAGCAGGTGAGACAGGAGAGGTCTGCTGTGCCATGTGGGTAGCTCCCTGACTGACCAGGGATCAAACTCGTGCTGCAGTGCCTGCGGACAGCTTCATAGTTTGTGTCTTAACCCCTTGCGCCACCAGGAAGGCCTTATCTTGACTTGGGTTTTGATTTTGCTCCTTTCCTTCCAGGCTTGCCTGGTGCCATCTGCCCCTTTACCATGGGTCCCCACCAGAAAGTGCCTTAGACTTTGTGGTAAGCTTTCGGCGTAAAAGGCCCTGCCTTGGACTGGCCTTGTTTGGCTGGGCATTTACCCACAGAGGATGGGTAACTTTGACTATTTCATGGGGAAACTATTTCAACTGTATTCTTTCTCTTCTCTCTATTATACACTAATTGTATTAAAGTTCTTTTCTAGTGAAGGCTTAAAGCACTAGATTATGTTTTGTCTTTACGTGATGGATGGCAGAAACCTTTTAAAGAGTGCAGGTTTGGGGGTCCCAGGGTGCCCCCATCCTGCCGGCTAACAGTGTTACCCAAATATCAGCAACTGCAGAAAACTACAGCCATTCCTACAGAAACCGCACTGTGCTGTCCACATGCTGCCACGCAAATTCTGCAGAGGCACTTGGTTGTTTGCTAAGTGCTTCCCTTGTAGAAGTTCATACTGGGCTCATGGGCTCAGGGGCTCCTACTGTAGCCCATGTATCTCTGCCCTTGCATTGTCCATGACAGAAGCATGACTTTTCCTTACCTGCCACTGTATCCATTGGAAGATTTTATAATTAAAATTATATATATTTTAATTATATGTTAGCAAAGGCCAAAAATGCCAAAGAAGTTTTCTAGATGAAATTAGAAAAAAAATCATGAAATAAGAGATGTACCTGGTCCACAACTGGATCTTCAATGGGGGGACAATTGGAAACATTGGAATCAGCACTGTCTATTGGATAATAGAACTGTATAAGTTCTTGAATTTGAGAAATTTTCTGTGCTATGAAAAAAAGAATAACTTTGTTTTTAAGGAATACACAGTAAAGTACATGGGGGCAGAAAGGCTTTACAGCTGCAGGTTACCCTCAAATGGTTCAGAAAGAGGTATGTTCGACAGAGCCCAGAATAATGTCATTTTGTGCAACATCATTTCGTTAAGCCCCTGCCAATTGGTCAATGTTGTATTATATCCACGGCCTCGATCAAATTACAAATGAAATAGATAAATAAAAATAAACGGAGAGCGAATTTCAGATGTAACAGAAGCAGGAAAGAGTGTAGTGTTGGAGAAGAAAGGCACTTCCTTCTAGTTGGAGGGTGAGTTTTTTGGAGATTGGGTGATTATGAGAGAAGAGTCAGGGGAGCTGAGAGCCCATCAATGGCTCTAAGTTGATATTTCTGCTGCCCAGAGATGATCCTGTCCCATCGCAGGTGTGTTTCCCGGTTAGGACGCTGGGGGGCGGCAGAACATTGCCGCTCCAGCAGGTTTACCAGAAGTCTGAAAATGTTCACGCCCTTAAAGAAAAAAATCTAAAAGTGTAATCACTGAATGATTGAAATTTTAAAATCAAGTGTGAAAAAGCAAAAGCAAAATCAATGTTTTTGAGTGAAATGCCTTCTTAAACTAACATAGTATCAACTTCAACTTCATTCACAATTGGCTTTAACTTCCTCACCAAGTGACATCACTTTGGAAAATTATGGGAAAGTGGGTTAGATATTCTCCACGTGCTAGAATACTGTAGATGCACAACAGTAAGTGTGTTTTATCATGAATCTAAATAATACAAAAAGTAAAAGCAAAATGATTCTTTCTACCTTTTTTTTATAGATAAAGAAATATATTTAAATGTGAGATTTGTTTTTTTTTTTTACTGTGTCTGCCATAAGGCAGGGTGGCACCTGCAAGAAAGCAGGTGCCCATGGGTGCCTGCATTCCCTGATGTTCCTTGGACCTGAGTCACTCTCCCCTCCACACCTTATTCAACTCACCCCCCCCCCCATTTGCCATTTATATCTGTTTAGGGTCATCTTGTTAGGGAAGACCACAAATGGGTTCCCTAATTATTCCCTATTTTAGCATCAATTGCTTCAACACCATTGCCACATGACACCATAAATTTATTATTTGGGCAATTATTGGATTTTTCTGTCTTCTTTAGTCAACTGTGGGCAAAATGTAGTCCTTTCTTCCCTAACCTAGGGTCTAGCACATAGTAAGTGCTCAGAAACAATGGAATGAATGAATGAGTGAACAAATAAGTCTATGAGCATGATAGTCCTGTTCTTGTATGGACTTCTCTTATAACTCAAAATTCTTATGTTCATATGGTAAAATGTGCATCCTGGCTCATAAAGTCCTCTTTGAAACTCATGTCAATTCATTTCAACTATAATGCCTCTCCTTCTGCTGTTCTCTGTGCCCGGGACATGATGGTAGTGGGCATCAGAGAAAGCTTGCTTCCACATCTTGCTTTTGATAAGTTCCGATCTGTGAATGGGAGGAGTGAGTTAGACACAAATAGTCCCACCCAAATATTCAGGGGTAAGAAAAAGCAAGGATCTCAGGGCTGAAAATCAGTGAAGGGAAGACCCGGGAGAGAGGACTTGAACTTGGCATGGAAAGCAGGGTATGAGGAATAATCTACAGAAGAAGGGCATTCTTAGCAAAGGGACACATACAAAAAAGCCTGGAGGCTTGAGGAAGCATGATTTTAGGTCAGAATAGAGATGGAATGGCTATAGGAAATTATCAAGGACATGGTAGCCAGTTTTTAAGGGACTTGATTGCAAATCGAGTGAGATTAGACCATTTCCCATAACAAAATAGAGCAGCATCAACTGTTGTCAAAGTGAGTAAGCCAGATACTCCAAAGAGAATCAAACAGGACTAGTAGGAACAGTGGAGTAAGTTGTGCACTGCAATAAGCTCAGGGGATTCCAATCACAGGTCACAATAAAAGTACATGCATACACACACACAGAGAGTACACAGGGGAATTATACCATACATTAGTTCTGCAGGTAAGAACAAATTTTAAGAATTTTCATTTACAGTCATTAAAAAGTTCTAAAAACTTTTAAAATAATAATAATTTGACACTTTACAAAATTATGTTATACATAAACACTCCACAAAACAGATGACAAAATAGAACATGATTAGCCATTAGGAAATGGCAAATTAAAGCCATGATGAGATTCCACAACACACCTATTATGAGAATGACTATAACATAAATAGTGATAATACCAAGTGCTGACAATACACACAACCAGGGCTCTCATAAATTGCCAGTGAGAAAACAAAATGGTATGGTCACTCTGAAAAATGATTTGACAGATTCCTATATAATTTCTTATAAACTTAAACTTATCATGCTACCCAGCAATCTCTCTTCTGAATATTAATCCTGGAGAAATGAAAATTTATGTACACAAATACATGTACCAGTTTCATTTGTAACAGTCACAGACTGGAAAGAACACAAATGTCTTTCAATAAGAAAATATCTAAAAACAGTATATCTACACAATGGAATAATACTCAGCACTGAAAACAGACAATTGATTCATGTGAGTAATTGGATGGATTTCAAGTATTGGACTGAGTAAAAGAAGCAAATCTCGAAAGGTCACGTACTATAGTATATTATTTACATGACATCCTAAAATGACAGAAATATGTGGGATAGATTTCTCAGATTATGGTCGCCATGATTAGGGTAGGAAGGGGTGGTTGACTCAAAAGCACAGCATGAGGGTGATGGGACAGTTTTGCACCTAATTGTGACAGTGGCTACATGAAACTATGCAAGTGACAAAATTCCAGAATATTTTAAAGCAATTGAATACATATAAAATTTAGTAAATTCTAAATAGGGTCTTTAGTTAATACTATTATGTCAAAGCCAATGTCTAGATTTTCTAATTGTACTATGATTTTACATAATATTCATATATATACACTTTCATTTTAATAAATCTACTTGTATATATAACTACTTGTATATACAGTTATAAGTATATGTAACTTATATATATAACTACTTGTATATATAGTTATAAAGATGTCTTTACTGGGGGAGGCTGAATGAAGGTTGACTATGACCTCTCTATGTCTTCGCAAGCTCTGTATGGGACAAAATTTATTTCAAAATGAAAACCTCTTAAAAGATAAAAAAAAAGACGTGTATTTTCCTAACATTTTAGTTACTAAATTAATTAGTAAATTGCTTGGTTGGCTCTTTAGCTTTCAGCAAGTTTTGATGTTCATGATGTACTTTCCACCGCCAGGATCAGTAGATCTAAGGTTGTATTTTTCATTTTTACCTCAATCAATCATCAAAAAAGAAACCATTGACTTGAATGTACTCAGTCTGACCCTAATACCAACTAAAAATGCTGGTGGAGATACTTCTACTTCTAAAATCACTCTATTTCTGAACATCGTGGTGGGGGGGTGGGGCGGGAAGACAACAAACCAGTTGTGATGAGAAAGAGCCAAACATTGTTCAATTATTAAAAGGTCTTACCAATGACCCTTAATCATGAACTTTGCCTGCAGGAAGTAGTAGCTACTATCGGTATTACTGTTTTGTTTGTTTGAAAATAACAAGAGGTTATTTTATCCTAATTGTTTCCTTTCTAAGTTTGAATTTCACAAACTTGTTTTATAATGTTCATAATATTACTACAGAGGCACAAGTTTAGTTTGTAAATAAATATACATATAGTGGATCTTCGCACAAATATATTTGACCAAAAGATTGCAAGAACAAGAATATTGGAACATGAAAAGTTGCTGAATATGTATGTGCATCAGAGAAAGCAAAATTAAAATGACAGTGATGACACTGTTTAGACAATGATAAATTATGTTTAGAATTAGCCAGCTGTACTCTGTTGAAATTATCCCAATTTTGTTGACAACACCCAAAGCATTATAGTCAGGAGTCCATCCAACCTATGGCTTCTTCTGTCCATCCGGTCTGATCAGGGTATTGACCTTGGCTACATCAATACCATAGAGCTTCTTCACAGCCTATTTGATCTGATACTTGTTGGTCTTGACATCCACCATGAACACAAGTGTGTTGGTTTCTTCTTGTTTTTTTCATGGCTGACTCAGTGGACAGGGAGAACTTGATGAAGGAGTAGTCGTCCAACTTGTTTCTCCTAGGAGTGCTCTTCCATGGATATTTGGGTTGCCTTTGCAGTCATGGTGTCTTGGATGTTTGAAAGGTAGGTGAATGTGGATCTTCTTTTCCTTGTGCGTGCAGATATCTTTTGGTACTACTTTCTTGACTTTCAAAGCTTTTGCTTTGGCTTTAGCTTTAGGAGGAGCATGGGCTTCCTTATTTTTAGCAACATCTTTTTGAAATGGCAATGAAATGACACTTAACACCCATGTGGATGGCTGTAATAAAAAAAGACTGACATTAACATGTTTTAGTGAGGGTATATATAAATTGGAATACATGTGCATTGCTGGAGGGAGTACAAAATAGTACAGCCACTGTGGAAAACTAAACATTTTTGTTCCTGAAAAAGCTAAACATAGAACTGCCACATGACCCAATAATTCTATTCTAATGAATATACCCAAAAGATCTGAAACATGCATTAAAGAGATACCTCTATACCAATGTCCGTAGCAACACTGTTCAAAATTACCCAAAGATGAAAACAATCCACAGGTACATCATTGGATATGAATAAGTAAGCTGATTAGTCCATTCAACCAAATATTATACAGCCATAAAAATTAATGAAGCATTTGCCACTCATGCCACAGTGTGGATGAGTCTTGAAAACAGAATGCTAATTGAAAGAAATGTGACATTAAAGATCATGCATTATATATTTCCTTTTATATAAAATGTCCAGAAAAGGAAATTATGTCATAGAAACAAAAATATACTAGTGAACATTAGGGAATGGGGGAGGTAGAATGGGAAGTGACTGCTATTGGGAATGGGGTTTTATTTTGGAGTAATGAAAATGATCTGGAACTAAATATATGTGGTGGTTGCACAAAATTGTGAATGCCATAGACACAACTGAATTAATTATAAAATGAGCCATTGATATGTGAATCTTACCTCAATGAATATAAATACATTAAAAGGATTATACATTATGACCAAGTGGGAATTAGTCAAGGAATGAAAGGGTAGTTCAACACCCAATGTTGTGTCAATCAATGTCATTTACCACATCAGCAAAAAGATAGAAATCACATGATCATATCACTAGATAAAGAGAAAGCATTTGACAAGATTCACATCCATATATGATAAAAACTCTCCAAAATGGGAATAGAAGGAACTTATATCAATATAATTAAGGCTATATGTAACAAACCCACAGTTAACATCATACTTAATAGGTAAAAAAAAAATTGAAAGATATCGCTAAGATTGGGTACAAGATCAGGGTGTCCACTATCACCACTACTATTCAACATAGCATTGAAAGTCCTATCTAGAGCAATTAAGCAAGAGAAAGATACAAAAAGCAACCAAACTGGAAGAAAAAACTAAAACTCATTATTTACTGATGATGTGATATTATACATATGAAACCCTAAAGACTCCACTAAAAAATTATCAAATGCAATAAAAAAGTACAGTAAAGTGGCAAGCTACAAAATCAAAATATAAAAATCAGTTGTGTTCCTGTACATAAACATCAAACTAAAAGAGAAAGAAATCAAGGAAAAATACCATTTGTAATCACATCAAAAGAATAAGAGACATAGAAATAAACTTAACAAAGGAGGTGAAATATCTGTACAACTCTAGGGCATTGTTAAATAAAATAGAAGACAGGCCTCCCCTGGGTGGCACAGCAGTTGAGCACTGGTCTGAGAAGCTGCCCACAGCCTCTACAGCGCCAGTTCGATCCCCGGCCCCCAGCAAGTGTCCCACATGGCGCTCAGACCTCTCCTGCCATGCCCGCTGCAGTGTATTTCGTCAGCCTGCCTGTTCTGTTCCCCGCTCTGGCTCTGGTGAGTTCTCTCACCCTCCCGCACTTCTGACTGTACCCAGTGCTTGTATAAATAAATAAATAAATAAATATTTTAAAAATAATAAATAAATAAATAAGTGAGTGAGTGAATGAATGAATGAATGAATGAATAAAATAAAATAGAAGACACTAAGAAATTGAAAGATAATCCTGATCATGGACTGGAAGAATTGACATTGTTAAAAAAAGACCATCTTACCCAAAACAATATATAGATTCAATGCAATCTCTAATAAAGTTTCAAGTATATACATCAAAGAAATAGAACAAACATTACTAAAAAATATATGGAACGCCAAAATAATTGTAATAGGCAAAACAATCTTGACAAAAAGAAAGAAAATATGTTTCACAATCCCAGATTTCAAATTACTATGTAGTTAGAGTAATTAAAACAGTATAGTATTTGAGTAAACAGACATGTGGAGCAATGGGATATAAACCCACACTTAAAGGGACAGTTAATCTACAACAGAGGAGCCAAAAGTATATACTGTAGAAAGGAAGATCTCTTCAATAAATAGTATTGGGAAAATGAAGCAAAAGAATGAAACTAGGCCACTATCATATACAAAAGGTAACCCAAAATGGATTGAAGACTTGTATGTAAAACCTTAAAGCAGAAGATCAAAGAAGAAAACATAAGCAAAACACTTTGTGACATTGGATTCAAGGATGTCTTTGGAGATTTGACTCCAACAGCAAAGGAAACAAAAGTAAAAATAAACAAGTGGGACTACCTCAAGCTAAAAGCTTCCAAACACACAGCCAAAGAAACTATCACTAAAACAAAAAGAAATCCTACTGAAAAGGAGAAAATATTTGCAAACCATACATTTGACAAGGAACTGATATCAATGATCTACAAAAAACTCATACAGCTCAGCAACAATAAAACAAATAAGCTAATCAAAAAAAATGGGTAGAAGTGCTAATTAGACACTTTTACAAAGAAAACATACAGATATCCAACAGGCACATGAAAAAATTCTCATCACCATTTATTGTCAGGGAAATGCAAATCAAAACCACAGTGAGATAACACCTCACACCTGTGAGAATAGCCCATATCAAAAAAGCAAGTAACAACAGGTGCTGGAGAGGGAGTGGAGAGAAGGGAACCCTCATACACTATTGGTGGGAATGTAGGCTTATCCAGCCCTTATGGAAACCATTGTGGAGGTTTCTCAAAATATTTCAAATAGAATTACCATATAATTTAATATTTATGGTTAATATTAAATTAATATGTAATTATTATTAAATTAATATGTAAATATTAAATTAAAATTTAATATTTATGGAAACCATTGTGGAGGTTTCTCAAAATATTTCAAATAGAATTACCATGTAATTTAATATTTTCACTCCTAGGAATCTATCCAGAGAATATAAAAACACTAATTTATTTATTTTTTTTTTTTTTAACGCTGTAATTCTAGGTGTTTATTTCTTTTAGTAATCTGCTGAAATATCATCTCAGGAAGTCCTATTCTTTCAACACCCTTTTAGAGTGGAGCCAGCTCCCTTTTCAATTGTCTCCATCTCCTCACCCTGCTTTCTTTTATTTCATAGAACTGTTGCTCAGGGTGTCATATCTATTCTTGTTTATTTGCTTATTGCTTTTTTTTTTTTTAAATATTAAATTTTATTTTTATATTCCCCCATACAATTGCAAACGCCCCATTCTGAC